CAAAGACATTCGATAAAGTAAATCATCGTTATTTAATCTGTAAATTAGAAGCCATTGGTATAGCTGGCAAATGGCTTGATTGATATGATAGTTTCTTGTGGGTAACACCCAGAGCATTAAGATAAATGGTGTGTTGTCTCAATCTATTGACGTCCTCTCTGGAGTACCACAGGGGTCACATTGTGGTCCTCTACTTTTGTCCTCTTTGTTAACGATGTTGAGAAAGTAATTAAGTATTCAAACTTTCTCAACTTTGCTGATGATAAAAAAATTTATAAAGTCATTACTTGTCAGTATGATCAAATTCAGCTACAAGAGGATATCAGCAGATTTAGCGATTGGTGCAAAACTAAATGAATTAATGTTGAACATTGATAAGTGTTGTGTTATTACTTTTCACAGGAAACAAACAATTTTAAATTACGATTATAGCATTGATAACACTCAGCTGTCTAGACAGGACTGTGTTAAGGATTTAGGTGTTTATTTTGATTGTAAATTAGCATTTCGTAAGCATCTAGAGGTCCCAGTAAACAGTGCATTTAAACAATTAGGGTTTATAACTAGAAACACTTCTCAATTTTCATGTTTTGTTTTACTAATTCTTTTTAATAGTCTCATTCGCTCCAGACTAGAATATGCAATAGTTGTATGGGGACCTTACTATCAAACATCTATAGACAAGCTTGATCGTGTTCAGCATAAATTTGGTAAACACTATCATTACCGTAGTGCTTTTCATGAGCTGATCACTTGAAAATGGTTTCTATGAATCGGCGAAAAGATTATTTTTGCCTAATATTCCTTTACAAAATTGTTAATAATTTGATAAATTGCCCTGAACTTTTAAATCGATTAGGTCTTAACACTCTTCATGGAACTAGGCATACTTCATTATTTCATCTACCATTTCATCAATTTAATTATCAATACTTTAAGCCTCTTACTCATATGGTGAGACTATAAGGTACCAAAGTGATCTGGACTTATTTTTCCAGTCCTTAGAACAATTTAAAAATGTGATAAAGAGACTGCTCTTTGTGTGATTAGTTTGTATTCAAGTTAATTATTAGTTTTTGTTAAACTTACTAATTATTTTCCAATGTTATGCTTACTTTGTAAAATTTTATATATTATATATTGTTTCAATGTAAATGGTATATCCGTTAATAAATAAATAAATAAAAAGCTACTTTCTAAAATAGGGTCCTTAGCTAAACATGCCCACACTTCTATTATTAATTGTAAAAAGGAGATCCAAGAAAAGAAGAAAATTTCTGTTACTTGATATAATACAATTGTATAGAACCAAAATAATTAATAAACACTACTGCAGAACACAATTCACAATCACACCAAGAATATAGTTGTACTGTAAAGCATCTGACATTTTTTTTTTTTTTTGAATAATGGCTTTGGCAGAGCCAATTAGCCAGACTTGTTTGTGTTTATTGTTAAAATCAACTGAATTGTAATTATTATTGATTGCAGATTCATAGTCAAAATTTTCTTGTATCAGTTATCAATGTTAGTACTACATATACCTAATATTTTACCTTTATTATGCCTAAATTTTTGTTTTGATATATTTTTATTTTGTTTTTTTTTATTCTTTTGTTTTCTTGTTTTTTTTTTGTTTTGTTTTTTTTTGTTTTGTTTTTTTTTGTTTTTTGCTAATTTTTGTTGTTTTTGGTATTTATTTTTTTGTTTTTTGTTCTATTTCTATTTTCTTAATTCTTTTGCTTTTTTTTTATTAATTTGTGGTATACTTTTTTTTGTTTTATTTTTCAAATCATATTAACAGATTATGCCTATACTTATACTATTTACAACTTGTATTTACATATTTCAACATGTTTGTAAATGCAATGAAGAATTTCCATATTATTTGAAAATATTAAAAGATTATTGGAAAACAACACTTAGAATTTAATAATTCCTTATAAAGTTCGTTTATATTATTAATTTGTAAATCACATTCTAATATAATATGTGTGAGATCTCTTATTATGCCACAAGTACAATTGGAAGTATTTGATAAACCGATTTCATGCATGTAAGATGGCGTAAGAGCATGATTTGCTCTCAGCTGATTAATGGTCTTCATAAAATGTCGATTAGATTCTGTGTAGAACTATCTTCTTGAGGGTATCCTAGTGTTACAATGATAAAAGTTTAAGCCAGTCTTATATTCTCTGTAATGTAAATGCCAATTATTTGTCTACTAACAGTGTCAATATCTGTTGCTGGAATTAAATTTTATAGAGAATATCGTTATATTTTACTGTACTTAATAGCTTTCTACCAAAGGTATAGATTTTTTAGTTCTCCAGTACCTATGAGTGAGCTTTAAAACTGATAGCTCATTAAGATCTTGAAGGTATTTACAATTTTTGGACATAAGTCGGACTGTAAATTTGTCGATAAGGAATTGGCGGCATAAATGCAATAGAGGTTCAACTGCTTCATTTTCCTTTATTTGGTCTGGAGTGGATTTTAAATAACCTAGGCATAATCTCAAGCATTTATTTTTTTGAACTTTAAGTTTGTTAACAACAAAGAAAATGTTACAATGGAAGCCCATAGGAAGGCGAAAAAAGGAAGGCCCAGAACGAGATGGTTGGATGACGTGGAAGATGACCCGAAAACAATGAACATAAGACAATGGAGGAGAAGGGCACAAGAGAGATCTGAATGGAAGGACATAGCCAAACAGGCAAGGACCCATCCAGGGTTATGATGCCAAAAGAAGAAGAAGAAGTTTGTTTAGATGTGTAATGGTCGCTGATACAATTAAATGACAGTTATGGCCTGATCATGTTAGGGTAAAACATCAAAGTAATATTTATGTCTTCAAACTTAGATACACGGAACAAGTGGAACAAGATCTGAAAACACTTAAAATTACCAACTGTAAAAACAAAGCAAGGAACAAAACAGAATGGCAGAAAATCCTAGAACAAGCCCAGGACCCAGAAAGGGTTGTTGAACTACTGATGATGATGATGACTATTTGGGTCTGCTCCCCAATTTGTTTTACGAAAAAATGTTTATTGAGTTTTCTGATTTTTTAACATATTGATGAATGTGATCTTTCCATAACAATTTTCTATCTAGAAAGGTACCAAAATACAGTTTTTTATAGGAAAATTAAATTTTCCCACATTAAGATTGCCTTGTGGAACTCTATGTTTTTGTGAAAAGTAACACACCTCAGTTTTTGTGTCAGAAATTGATAATCCTGTTTCTTCATAGTAGTAATTGACAATTTCTAATGTGACTTTCAAATTATCCTCACCGGTACTTAACAATTTTTCTGCTGTATATAAAACAATATTATCAGCATATTGAAGAATTTTTGTATGTGTATTTGTCAGGATATGGAAATTCCTCATTATTAATCTTTAAGGTAAGAACTTGGATCACATTCTGGTCTGCCAAGTTTTTTAATTGGAATTGCCAGGTACTCTTTCCAACTATTTGATACTGGTGTCTTATTTGATCAAATATTGTTGAAAATGTTTACTAGTGAAATTTTATATTCCATAGATAAGTTGTATAACAGCGAATATGACACATTGTCAATACCTGTAGAAGTATTATTTCTTTGTTCAAGGGATCGATGCAATTCACACAAATGGAAATTTTTTATCTGATAAGTTGTAATTGCCAAATAAATATATTTTAAGAAATGTTTACAAAAAAATAAATTTAACAGTCTCAGAGTGTTTACTATAATAGTTGTCTAGAATATGTGGAATGTACAGACATGCAATTATTAACTTCAATCCTTTATGTTAGTCATTATCTTGGGAAATAATTTTCAAATTTCATTTGTTCATATTCATAGATGTGGTTATGAACCTTGTGTAATTCAAATTTAAATCTAAATGAACCTTAGCACTTATTTTCACTTTGAAATTAGCATTAGAATAATATAATATGCAAGAATTTAAAGATAACCTAGCAATCCTTATTCTGGATAATGAATGAAAATATCTTACCCATTTCGTAATAGTTTCTACTAATATATCTGGCGGAAATACTATTTCTTTCCCCCTAGTATTAAAATAGTTTTCTGTAATGGCAGTTAGGACATTTGCTGTAAACTGTGGACAAATTTTTGGTAATAATGTAATTTTATCTATATTACATTTATAAAAGTAAAAGTAGTCTTGAATTATTGCTTCAGCCAATTTGCAACTATTTGGGGAAGTGTTTCCTAATTGCTGCATCCATGCCCTTGCAGATGCTAAAATTTTTGTAGAAGGAATGCCTATTGCAAGGGAGACTAATTTGGAAAGCACCTGTATCCTGGAGTTTGCAGTTGTTCCACTAAATAATGAAAGAAATACAGTATTTCTAGCAGATTCACTTGGCACTGAATCAAAATATTCATACAATATATTAATTAATTGGAGCTCTAGGAGAGGATTTAGAGGTTGGGGTCGTTTGTCACCCCTTCTATCCACTTCGAAAAAAATAAATTCTGCCATGAGATTCAGGGCTATGTCCATATTCTTTATAGTTGTCATTCGACTGCATATTAATTCATCTAAAATAATATTGCTTTAAATAATTAATTGTTTTTAAAAAATATATATATTCCTTACTAATTTTGTGCAATGCTTCTTTCGCGCATAGAGGAAATTCTATTTTCCTCAAGGTTTGTTTCAAACTTCTAACTTCAACAGACATTTTCTTTCTTTTTCAAAAATATAATTACTTTTGGTAAAATATTAGCAAGGAATATAGACGCACATTAGTTTAAGACAATCCAGTGAACACAAAATTAACACTGTTGTTATTTATTTATACTAACATTAGCTACATAACCAAAGATTTATTGGACATCTGTCATATGACTTGTTTGACATATGATATATTTTCATCGAGAAACAGTGTCAATTATTTTTTTCGAACAAACAGTTTCTAAAAAAGTTGTTGATTTTCGCCATAGAGTTAGAGCCTAAACTCGATGATTTTTGCAAAAACAGCATCCTAAACCAAGATCCGCAACATTAAATCTCAAATTAAAGAGTAGGTACCGTAAAATGAAAAAAAATAATTTACGACCCCTTAGAGTTGTGAATATTGTACGCTTATGATACTTCGGAAAAGAACCTACTGTCAAAAAAGGCGGGAGTTTTCACAAATACTTAACCTTTTTTTGTTTATTTTTTTTTAGTTATTTTGATATTTATTATAACTCAAAAATGGATAATACAACTGAAACTCAGTTAGCAACTCCGGAAACATTTGACTTTCCTTTTCCTCCTTATGATATACAGCTTCAATTTATGAAACAATTGTATTATACCTTAGAAACAGGAAAATTTGGAATATTTGAAAGTCCTACAGGAACTGTAAGTGATAAGTTTATTGTGAATTAAAGAGATAAAGGGTCTCCTTACTGATTTCAAGGAATATTATTCCATAAGAATTTGTTATTTTTAAAAGTATGTTATATGCCCTATAGTTTACTCAAAAAATAATTTTTATATATTTTAATCTATTAGTAAATATCTGCATAATTAAGCTTGTACATATTTGTTTAAAAGCCTTCTCGATTTATTGGAGATTTGGAAATGCACTGGCAAATTTTTCTTATTTTCAGTTGTTACTACTAAAATTATGAACTGTTCTATATGGACTATTTTAAAACTAACATTTTGTCTTCAGATATTTCCACTGTTCCCTTTACAATCACATGTAGAAGGTTGTATTTGCAATTTCGGAATGTTGTATATGTTTTGCTCTTTCTGACAAACCAATCTTGGCAAAATAGCATGCCTGCAATAAAATTTAAGCCTACTAACCCTATTTTATTTTTGAATTTATGTTTTACGCTTTTTTTACTGCTTCTTAACATAATGTATGTGATATAAGACAATATTTTTGCTTTGAAAAAATAGCCTGTTATTTTGGGCAATAATATGTGAATTAGATCTGTACTAGTTCCGTAAATCAAAACTTGTTTAAAAAAAGGTTCTGTCTGAATCTAAAAAGTATTTTAGATCTTATTGATCATGGATCTCTCAATAAGTAATATGTAATGGGCTGAGAATGATAATGGCAATTTGTTTATTCCAATTACATCTTTATAAGATAAAATAATTACGTATAGTTATATGAGTTATGATAAAAGTAGTCTGCTAGCGTTTTATTTACATACTAAACAGGCAGAAGAAAAATTTCAATAAATTATAAACATAGCTCAATCAAACCTTTGTTGATGCAATATATCCAAGATACCTTTCGCATTCTAATTTATCACCAAATTTCGAAGGATCCAAGTGGTTACATGAGTGGTCAGTGAGAGTCCAGGTTTTAGAGCTGTATAAAACACAGAGAAGACATTCTATAAAGGAGTCCTTATGCACAACTTCACATTGAGTCCCACATTACAAAGTATATTATTTTTATTTTATTTTAAATTTTGATTTTCTGAGAATAATCCATAGCTCATTTAGCATATATCCTGAATACCACATAAAAGATACTCTTGTATTATTGTTTTTACTTAGTATAAGGATGTGTCTTCATACAGTTAAAATTTTCACTCAATTTTGGCACCTCACTCAAAAACCTAGAAATATAACTTGTCTATTTGTGCTAATATCTTTAATTCATATATCATGCATGTAATAATGTTTTAGGGAAAATCCCTGAGTATAATCTGTGGGGCAATAAGATGGTTAAAAGATAGACAAAGTTTCGAAAAAGACAATCTTTCAGAAAATATTTCTAAACTGTTAAAAGAGAAAGAGATCTTTTCGAAGAATTCTACTGATTGGCTTACCTCACAGTCCAAGGAAATTGAAATTAACTTTAAATTAAATATGTTAAAACAAGAACAGTCTAAAATAATAGAATATACGAAAAAATTAGAAGATATTAAAAAATTAAAGCAGTTTAATAACAGAAAAAAATTTATTACTCAAAACAAAAGTGTTGATAAAAGTAAAATTGAAGAACCCATTGAAAATAATGAAAATGTAGATGATGAGGATATTGTACTGGAGGAGTCTTTAAATGTGGTAGAAAAGAATGAAGAACTTTTGGATGAAGATGAAGAAAATGGAAAATATGAACCAATTAAAGTAAGTAAAGAATCTTCTAAATTTTATCTTTTTACTGTAAAATCTGTAAATAAAATACTAAAATATTTATAGTTTTCACATTTATCAAAATAGAGACAACTACTGTTTAGATAATAAGTTGTAATATGTTGTACTTTGATGATGATACTTTTAGGGCCTCATAGACTTCAGTCTTTTTATGAGCTGATAGTTTAGTCAGGTTGGGCAGTTAGTGTGAACACTGAGCCAACTAAACATTCATGTTGGTGAGGAGGTTTCTGGCAGACTAGCAACAGCTGGTCAACATATTTAAATAAATAATAACCCAGTGTGCCGAGTGTGATAGCCAATTTGACTCAAACAAAGTTTTTTCCTGTGATGGATGCAGAACCATCATAGTATTCATCACACATCTTTGTATCGAATATGGTAATCTAACAGCACCTGAAGTTTAATGCATGCAGTTGAAAACAAAATGTAAACTGAAGTTTTTTGTAAACTGTCTGAAGTGGGATTTCAGAAGGTGCCAGCTCTGTTACAAAAAGTAAGTGAGCTTAACGAAAGTATAAATAAAATTATACACAAGGAAAATATTGTATCTGTAAGAACAACATGGTTTAAAAACTTAAGACAATGGGACAGAAAATTGACTACATCATTATTTAAAGTTGCTGTTAGCAAACACATGATAGTGAATATGGAACCCAGTATGGAAATGTGTATGGTCTATATTATATAGCTCGAGAATAGCTTTACATGTGCCATATCCTATAATGATTATAATAGACTACACTCCAAAGGCAAAAAACTATGTTTGTAACTACATAACAAATTCACTACTTAATTGAGTTTGTTACAGCCAAATCAAAAATTTTTTGAAGACTTCATGGTTCAAAGTCAACTTTCAAAGTCAAAAATATTATTTTGTTTTATCGAAACTATAAAAATTATAAATAAGAAAATTATAAACCCGAAACAAATGTGTATTCATTCAGCGTAGGCTTCACTGCCGATGTTGTATAATGATACATTGTTATCCAGTTCAGGAATTATTGCTTCCTAACGTTTCGTTTGTAACTTTATGAAAATTCATATTCATCCTCAGTATGGAAGACAAAATTTCTGCTGTTGTCGCATTGTTATTGACCAACAAAGTTGAAGATAAAACGTTAGGAAGAAATAAATCTAGACCACAGCCAATAATTCCATAGTTTTCTTAGCTTTTCTTATATATTCACTTGTTAAATTTCATATGCGTTAAACTTATTCCACTTTTCAGATCTACATATGCAGTAGAACACATTCTCAATTAGCACAATTCGTAGGAGAAATTATTAAATCCCCTTTTGGAGGCAATGTTAGAGTCACATCTTTGGCATCTAGACAGACATATTGTATAAATCCAGATGTGTCCAAATTAAAAAGTATGGCCCTCATTAATGAAAGGTAAACTTTTTAACAAATTGACTGGCTCACTGTAGATGATAGGAATTAGTCTGAATAGACTGTAGGAATTATTAAATATATTTAATTTGATTTCTTATCGGAAAATGACATATTTGAATTATTAGGTTGTGTTACAAGTATATGTCACCATCTCCAATTTGCAACCATATTGAGTATTTCTGAATTATACAGTGTAAGTGGAAGCAGTTCTTTGGAATCCACAAGGAAATTGAAATTTCTGTAGTTGGCTATAAGCATACCATAACTCACAAAAATTTTATTTAAAAAATCCTTTATAAGAGGTATATAATTAAAAAAACCCTTTCAGGCTATATCACAGAATGTTTTCAGACTAACTAGTCCATCGTCAGTGCAGTTACCAGGTGTACATAAGTGAAGCCACTATACCTTATTCCATTAAGCGGTGCAGGGCATATAAACAACGATAAATTTAACAGATAATTATTAAAGATGTTCCAAATGAGTCTACTCGTTCCGATAAGTAACAGTATAATTATGACACTTTATTATTTTTTTTCTTTTCTCAAATATTCGTGTTTATTGCATAGTAAATAAATTAATGTTATCACTGAATACAAAGTAAGTGAAAAAATACTCCGATTTATAAAATTAATGAATATTTTATGCATAAATGCAAGTAACAGTTCTTCAAAAATATTTAAAAACTAACCGGAATGTCCATCTTTATTTCGTCTGGCGATGTTATCGGCGGTTCATACCGGTTCGGACACGATTTAATGTTTATATTTTCCTGCACTGCTTAATGAATTTTACTATAGATATGTGGATAAAAACCCTTTAAATGATATTAAATTTGTTTTTTATTACATCTTCGCTGATAAATTTGTATGATGTTAAAGTCTTAAACAGATATACTGTAATAAATAACAAATTTAATATAATTTAAAAGGTTTTTACCCACATATTTAGCGACTTCACTCATGTACACCTGGTAAATGCACTGAGGATGGACTTGTTAGTCTGAAAACATTCTGATATAGCTTGAAAGTTAGAGTCTTTCCCCTTTTGAGTTCCTCTATTTCGTTTTTCTTTGGAGTGTCGGTAAGTATATGTGACTTTCCTCTTGCTCTTCCTGGGGATAGGCTCGCAACATTTCAGGTGTAATAGAACTTCTTGAAGTTCCTACCTGAAGACCTGAAGGTAGAGGAAGTAGTTATGTTAATTGCTCTAGTCGAAGCTTTAGTCTGTTCCTTCTCTTGTTCAACATCGACTGTTCACGATCCCCGGTAGGCTGATTCAGGTGACGATCTGTTACATATGATGACAAGAACTCACTCTCTTCAAAAATATTTTCATTGATTGGATTGAGACCACTTACTTCAAACCCTTTCTGGATATTGGATTGTAGTAAATGCTTTTGAAAAAGCCTTACCTGCCAGCTCTGCAGGCCACATTGTAATATGTTTTCATTGGTCCAAATACTGTTCTGTCGAGCGGTTGCATCTTATGGCTGGTATGAGGATGAAACATTGTCGGAATAATGCCGTTTCCTTACAAACATTAATGATATTAATATTCACGTGGCTATCGTGATTATCCAAGAGTGATATGACTGGATCTTCAACTGTTGGTTTCAGATGATTTTTAAAATGTTGTAAATATTGCAAAAACAATATTTCTATTGACTATCCGGACGAATTAGCACCTCCTATAATTTCAACCGGACAACCCTCTAGCATATGTAGCTTGAAATTCGCCGTTGGAAATATCACCATCGGTGGAATGTGATTGCCAATTGCATTTATTGAGGCTATTAGATTAACGTTTTGTTCTCGTTTTACACTAGTCATTTGACCCAATTGTTTTATTTCTTTGGGTCCGATTATTTTTTGTGATACATGAACAATTATAACACCAGTCTGGTCGCAATTCCAAATTTTTTTGGTGTAAAATTGTAAAAAAAAGGTATCAATATATAATGTTGAGCGTGCCAAAGTGATAGGCTGGGCTTACGTAGAGACAAATCTTTATGCCATGCCTTCTTAAAAATTGACGTAGCCATTCCTTGCCAGCTATCTTATTTTCATTCTAGAAAGGTGGATGAGACTTGTTGTTCACGCCTCTATCTAATTTAAGTTTTTTATGCATTTTACAATCCGGCAACATAGTAGCGTAGGAAGATATATTATGCCATATGTGAAGATAAGGCGAGCCCCTAAAAGCACTCCAAGGGCGACAGTATCATTCAAATATGAGAAGTCGAGGCCGGTGGACACCAGCGAGCGAAACAATACGTATTAGCGTTTTATTTATGTATTGTTAATTAATTCAATAAAGTCAGTTTTTTCACACGGAGTTTGATTATTTACCAGCGGCACACGCGAAGTGCATATCAAGTTTCAACCATTTGGTCCTTCGAGCCGGATCATCAAATTCTTGTGTTAAAACAGTGTAAATTCACCGGTTAGAAACTCATATTTGTGTCATCAAATTAGCGGGCGATATAACAGCAGTGCATCATAGTGGCTCAAGCGCGTTATAGACATTCGAACGTTATTTTTAAGAGAGTTACATAATTGGACAACTGTGGTTCTTAAAACTTGTGAAGAACTACTCTACGAGTTGATGCGAAGATTTGTGGTGCCACGCAAGGCCAGCTGTTAGAATAAACATAAAAATACTTTGGTGAGCATACCCATTTCACTACATTCCCTTATTTATCAGTTTTTTGTATCTTTATTCTGCACATGTGGTAATTCTTAGAACGTTAGGGTCGAATATCAAGCGATTTATAATCTGTTTATGTTTACTGTTTAATTCATTATAAAACTATGGAGAATTTAAAGCGAAAAAGGGGCGGTTTTAAATGCAAACTCACAATATTTTCGAAATATATATTAGCATTGAATGATAAGGTAACTAAGGGTGAAACAATTTCAGATTTAGAAGTATTACAAACTATAGAAATGGTAAATAATATAGGACATTTACAGGGCGAATTCGATGAGGTTCAGGGTCAAATAGAAAATACGGTTCAATTTGAATTATTAGAGGATGAATATACGGAGCGCGAAGAATTTTACAACAAATATTATTCACAATTAGCGGTAGCGCGAAAAATCATTCTCGATAATCAACAAGTAGCTTGTATACGAGACGATAAAGCAAGTGAGCGCTCTAAGAATTCATATACAGGGATTGAGCTTAAACCTATCGAGTTACCAAAATTTGATGGTAATTATAATAATTGGTTAGATTTTGCAGATCTTTTTGAATCTTTAGTTAACAGAAATGGGTACTTAGACAATATAAGGCGTTTTCATTATTTACGAAGTTCATTACAGGGCGGTGCGGCGCAGGTAATACGAACATTAGAGTTTACCGCCGAAAACTATGCAGTTGCGTGGAAATTAATTAGGGAAAGGTACGATAATAAGAGATTATTAATTTCCAATCATGTTAATGCATTATTTAATATAGAGCCTATACATAAAGAGTCATCTAATAGATTGCGGCAATTAGTTGATATTTTTTCGAAGCATTTATACGCGTTAAAACAGCTAGGGCTACCTACTGATTCATGGGACATACTACTTATTCACATTATTTCTTGTAAGTTCGATACATCGACTTTACGCGCGTGGGAGAATAGCAAAACACATAATGAAATTCCTAGTTTTAAGGATTTTAAAACGTTTTTAAAATCAAGGGCGGACCTCTTAGAATCACTTGAGGTAAATCAAGCTGAAAAGCAAAATATACGGAATATTTCTCAGGCGGGCGCATATTCACGGAATACGAAATATTCACAAAACATTCGCGGTTTACACTCAGCACAGGGAATTTTAAACAAAGCGGATAATACACAGTGTTGCCCTATTTGCAAAAGGGAACACCCCATTTATCAATGCGGCGAATTTTTAAAACTTTCATCTAGGGACAGGTTTGATAAAGTAAGACAGGTCAATCTTTGCACGAATTGTCTTAAACCTGGACATTTCTATAAGCGGTGTAGACAATCAACATGCCAGAAATGCGCTTCAAAACACCATACGTTATTGCATCCAGATAGGTCAAGCGAACAGAACACAGCTTTAGTTCATCAACCGGTAGAAAACGCGAGCGATATACGATCTGTAGATAATATACAAGGTATTTTAAACACTACCAATTTATCAGTTTCGGCAGTTAACGCTACAGATCAAACTATACTGTCCACAGTATTAGTTAATATTTTTGACGGCCAAGGCAAGGCATACATAGTGCGAGCTTTGTTAGATTGCGGTTCACAAAGCTCATTCATAACCGAAAATTTATGCGATAGACTTAGATTAAAAACGACAAGCGCGAACATATCAGTCATGGGCATAAATAATATTGCATCTCCCGTTCGATACAAATGCGAAGTAAATATACAATCGCGTAGCGATATAAGTTTTCATACAATTCTAAGTTGTTTCGTAATACCAGAAATTACGGGGTGCGTACCGGCATCTGAAATAAACATTAGCGATTTGCAGATACCTAAACATTTAAAATTAGCGGATAGTCACTTTCATAAACCACAAAAAATCGACTTATTGATAGGAAGTGACCTATTTTGGCAGATACTTGGTGCAAACAGAATTAGTTTAGGTAAAAATAAACCATTTATGCTGGAAACAATGTTTGGCTGGATCATAGCAGGGCCGTATATCAGCCAAAACAAAGCATCAGAAAAGCGAATAACTAAGTGTAATTTCACAAACACAATCGAAGTTACAGAACAGCTAAGTAAGTTCTGGGAACTTGAAGAGGTTTTCAATGGAAAACCTGCACTCTCGGGCGAAGAAATTGCATGCGAAAAACATTTCGAAGATACGGTAAAACGCGACGCGACAGGCAAATTCGTAGTGTCATTACCATTCAAGGAACCGATAAGTTCACTCGGTGATTCATTTCGTCAAGCAAAAAATAGGTTTTTAAATCTTGAGCGCAAGTTGAATAAAGATGCCAATCTTAAAACTCTTTATAGCGAATTCATCCGGGAATATGAAGAGTTAGGTCATATGAAAAGTCTATGCAGAATTACGGAAGCGGCAATAGATTCTAGTGGAAATACTACATTTTATTTTATGCCACATCATCCAGTATTAAAAGAAAGTTCTTTGACGACACGTTTGCGCGTTGTGTTCGATTGTAGTGCGCCAACTACAAACGGCATTTCATTAAATAGCATTCAAATGGCCGGACCAACCTTACAAAATGATTTACTCTCCATTTTATTACGTTTTAGAACACACTTATATGTAGTTAGTGCGGATATAGAAAAGATGTACCGTCAGGTATCGGTTGCAGATGATCAAAAATCCTTACAATGTATCTTATGGCGAAATAATCCGGAAGAACCGCTTGAAATATTTCAGTTACAAACAGTTACATACGGTATGAAATGCTCTTCTTACTTAGCGATTAAATGTTTAATGACATTAGCGGAGGAGCAAGAAGCTAAAAATCCTAACATTGCTAGCATTATTAAATCTGATTTTTATGTTGACGACCTTTTGACAGGTTTTGATTCAAAACAGAAAGCGCGCGAAGCATGTAAACAACTTTTTGAGGTCCTTAAAGGCGGAGGATTTACATTGCGTAAATTCTATTCAAATGATCCTGAAATATTAAGAGATATACCGGATAATTCAACTACGGGTTCAGTTATTCAATTCGGTGAAAACGAGAAGGCGAAAACTTTGGGATTATTATACTCACCTCAATCAGATACTCTGTTTTATAGCATAAATTCATCTCTAGGCCATATAATCACAAAGCGAAATTTATTGTCAGACAGCTCAAATTTTTGATCCCTTGGGTCTATTAAGTGCGTGTACAATCATAGCGAAAATTACGTTGCAACAACTATGGCTAGAGCGTCTTTCGTGGGATGATCCCATACCTGAACATTTAGCAAATAATTATTTACAGTTTAGAAATAAATTAGAAATCTTAAACAATTTAAAAATACCTCGGCATATTATATGTTATCGTGAGGTCAAACTAGAACTTCATGGCTTTTGCGACTCCTCAGAAAAAGCGTACGGTGCTTGCATATTCATTAAATCTACCGATTCGTTAGGTAGATCGTATTCATTTTTATTATGTGCGAAAAGCAAGGTTGCGCCTTTAAAGCCAGTTACCTTGCCGCGTTTAGAGCTCTGTGGAGCAGTCATTTTATCGCGTTTGACCAATAAGGTCAAAAATTCATTAAATGTGCAATTTAATATGTGTTACCTCTGGACAGATTCATCAATAGTAGTTAGTTGGTTGAAAACATCAGCCAATGTATTGAAGACGTTTGTTAGTAACCGCGTAGCAGAGATCCAGGAAACCACTTCGTTTGCGCAGTGGCGTCATGTCCCAGGCAAGGATAATCCTGCAGATCTAGTGTCCAGAGGCGTGGAACCAGATAAAATAATGGAATGCAACTTATGGTGGCATGGACCGGAGTGGCTCATGCAAGATTCAGATAAATGGCCAAATTTACAAGTTGTTCCTACAGAAACAAGCGAAACGAGGAAAAACATAAAAGTTTTTACGAATAAACTTGATGAAACACAGAATACCGAAGTATTTTCATTTGAGCGCTTTTCTAATATTTTACGTTTAAAAAGAACCTTTGATATTTGATCATTTTCACAAGGATCTTATGCATGCTGGTCCTCAGCTTTTACTCGCAACGATAAGAGAAACTTTCTGGCCGTTATCAGGAAGAAATTTAGCGCGACGTACTGTACACAAATGTGTAAAATGCTTTAGATTAAAATCTAAATCCATTCAGCCAATAATGGGTGATCTACCTGCTCAGCGTCTCGCAGGTGGCCCACCGTTTATTGTAACAGGTGTAGATTATGCGGGCCCTTTCTTAATTCGCGATAGAAAGGGTCGAGGTTGTAAACTAATAAAGAGTTACATGTGTCTTTTTATTTGTTTTTGTACGAAGGCCATACATTTAGAATTAGTTACAGAACTGTCTAAGGAATCATTTCTGTTGGCCTTTAAAAGATTTATTGCGCGAAGAGGCAAGCCTCTAAGGATGGTTTCTGATAATGGAACCAATTTTATAGCAGCTAGTTCGGAGTTAAAATCATTAAGAGAATTCTTAGAGCAGCACACTCCCGCGATAAGAGAATCCTTGCTAAAGGATAATATTTCGTGGTCTTTTATACCTCCATATTCTCCACATTTTGGCGGACTGTGGGAAAGCGGAGTAAGAACAGTTAAACATCATTTACATAGAGTTTTGGGAAACGCGCACTTAACGTTCGAGGAATTTTATTCGTTGCTTGTGCAGATTGAAGCTATAATAAATTCCCGACCGATTCATCCTCTATCCTGTGATCCAAATGATCTCTCCCCATTAACTCCTGCACATTTTCTCATCGGACGACCACTTATTACCAATCCAGATCCAGATTTGCGTCATATTCCAGTTAATCGGCTCTCAAAATTCCAGCATATTCAGCAGCTTTCTCAGCATATATGGGAACGATGGAACAAAGAATACATCTCCGAACTACAAAAACGTACGAAATGGACTACTGCTAACGGTGAAGTTGCTAAAAACACGTTAGTACTCATAAAAGAGGACAATTTACCTCCATTAAGGTGGAAGTTAGGTCGCGTGATCGAACTTATACGCGGCAGTGATGGTGTAGCCAGAGTTTTTAAGATAAAGACAGACAATGGTATCATAACTCGTTCTTTTTCCAAGGTGTGTCCGTTGCCCGGTTCGGACTAAGTGTAGTTTAAACTTTTGAGCATTTAGCATTAGCAGACGATTTTGTTGGCAGTGTTTGCCAAGGCGGGGGCCATGTTCACGCCTCTATCTAATTTAAGTTTTTTATGCATTTTACAATCCGGCAACATAGTAGCGTAGGAAGATATATTATGCCATATGTGAAGATAAGGCGAGCCCCTAAAAGCACTCCAAGGGCGACAGCATCATTCAAATATGAGAAGTCGAGGCCGGTGGACACCAGCGAGCGAAACAATACGTATTAGCGTTTTATTTATGTATTGTTAATTAATTCAATAAAGTCAGTTTTTTCACACGGAGTTTGATTATTTACCAGCGGCACACGCGAAGTGCATATCAAGTTTCATCCACTTGTTATTTGTAGTTGCATAGTGGTATGCATCAGTGAGAAGATAGGTTTTTAAATCACCTTCTTCATCTGCTTCACATTATTTGCAGCAACTTACGAAAACTCTGCAGCCCCCGACTTTCTGAAGGACTGTACGTGTCTGATAAGTGTAGTTTTCGATATGTCAATAACACTTTGCTGCTTCCCTAATTGATAACTATCCACTAATACATTTATTTGCTGCTGAAATTATAGTTTGTGAAATTAGAGGTGGTCTTTTGGCACATCTTTGCTTCTTAGCATTTTAATATGACTATCTGAAACAGGAGAAGGTCTTGTTAGCCAACATTGATTTAAATAAAATTTAAAATATTGTTAATTCGCGATACGACTACCTTCGTCCGGTCCGAGGTACACGACTGCTTACTGACACAAGGTACACTCCGTTCGGCTCGCGGAGATAAGAATACGGCCGAGGCCAGAAGACCCTGCCTGTCGTAAGAGGCGACTAATAGGCGGATATGAGAGGTGGAGAGCCGTCGTTTGAGGTATGGGGTTGGTGGAAACGCACAGAGATGCTTAGTCATCTCAGTCACCGGTCTACATTCCTAGTATCTGAGACGATCATCTCGTGGAACCACTCTACTCTCATTTTCCACAAGAGCCAGGTGAGGTTGAACGAATGACTTACGAGTGGTGGAGGAGTGATTCCTCGGCGGCGATCTGTCTTCGTGCGAGGTGGAATTCCTCCACCTGCGTGCCTTTCCGCCCCCGGGGTAATACCCCTCCCCCCCAACACTTATGTACTACGGGGGAGGTATGTATTGGCATCGTGCCACCTATTTATACACAGCGATGCTATTTCAGCTGTTGTTTACTTTATTTGTTGAGGTTGTGCATTTAAGAAAACAATACAATAATTATAATCAAGCCTAAACATGTATATTTGATTGTAAATAAGAACAATATCTATATTTTTACAATTAAAACGGATGTTAAGGGATAATAAATAAGTAAATATTTGTACTTACAACACCCTGCAAATCATCATGCGATTAATTTTTGTTTGTGAATATAGAGCTGTCATCTACCGACTATAGTTTTGAACTAATTATTTAGCTAAAGCGAAGACATATTAACAGTGGGTAAAAAGTAAACTACACTGACCTAATAGCTTACGTAAGTTTAGGTTACACAGGATTTGGTTTACCTCTTTCTTGACTCGAGAGCCGTCACTGTTATATACAATATTAAAAACTTTCAGATGTTTGGACCTTCAAAAGAAAACTCCGAAACCAAAAACGGATCCCGATGGCAGAGTAATTAAAAGAGCAAAAGGTGCCACATCATGTCCTTATTACAAGCAAACGGCTGTAGAAGAATTGAGTAACTATGCTCTATCAGAAATTCAAGATGTTGAAGATTTAGTAAACGCTGGTAAAGAATTCAATGCTTGTCCTTATTATGCTTCTAGGAAAGCAGCCGAAGATGCTGAGGTTATTTTGATTCCGTATAATACACTCCTACATAAAGCAACTAGAGAAGCTAATGGAATTAAATTGAAAAATAATATAGGTAAAAACTTGATTTCTATGTGTTCTCGGATTAAATAGAATTTTTGTATCATACATTCTAATATCATTTTTATTATTGTTTTAGTTATTGTTGATGAGGCTCATAATCTTCTGGAAGCTCTGGCACAAATGCATAATGCTGATTTGAACTATGCACAAGTTTACCACGCACTCAATCACATGAAAGCTTATAAAAAGAAATTTAGTACAAGGTTTTCAGCCAAAAATCTCCTGATGATTAATCAGCTTATATTTGTTATTAGTCAGTTATTGCAGACATTAGGTAATATATGTTTTGAATTTGTTTTATTAATTTTATGTATTGTATTATAATCCGCAAGGAAAAAATAGAATAATATGCATTTAAATAATGTTTTTGTAAAAAGTATTTAGGCGTATAAAGTGAAAGATTGTAAAAATAATAAAATGAATACGATGAGATTCCCATAATTAAGCACATATTTAAGTTAAAATTAGAAAACTTAAACGTTTGGAAAACTTGCAATGATTCTGTTGGTGTAATTAGTATACTTATAAAATCACTAAAATAATGAAAATATTCAAAATTATTACAATTTTCATCAGAAGCTGTCGGTCTTATCAGACCACCATCAGTGAAAAATTGAACATTTGTAAATAACCACTTTAAAAAGTGTAAAAACTTTTGAATTATATTTTAAATGATTTAATAGTTAAAATTGAAGCAAGATAAAGGCGTGGGATTTAGATTTAACCAAAAGGGAACCTATGAACTCCTACTCGAAAAGGTGACAATTTGTCGGTCTGACCAAAGATACCAACCAACCGATTTTTGGACAGACAGACCAGTTGGCTGGTATCTTTGGTTATTTTTTGGTCAAATTTTATAATATAAACCGTGATCGTAGCAGTAGCCACTTTCTGTTGCGTGGAGTAAATTTCCGAATTATTTTGTATGCTTTAAATCAGGGGTGCTCAAACGGTCGATCGCGATCGACTGGTCGATCGCGAGTGCTTTTTGGGTAGATCTCGAGAAGAAAAAAAATTTTAATAAGTAGGTAGGTAACTAAACTACTGTCAGCAGAGTTAAACGTTTTTATTAATACTGAACTATACAAATACATAGAATGCTTGACTAAGCATCATTGCAATTCAAAGAAGTGGGGACAACAAAATACTGTCCACACAGCATATTTTATATTTACATATATTAACTAATTATTTTATTAATTCAATATTTATTATAATTATTAATCAAATTTGGGATGATATTCTATCAACTACAAAAATGTATTACGTAATAAAATACTACTGCTTGCGGCAAAAGGTGGCTTTATCAAAGGAACGCGCGGCACTTGTCAAAGGCAAGAGATCTCTTCTAGACGAGAGACAGTACAGTCTAGTTTCGGGCGGCGCGTTCGACGGGAACATTCGAGACTTTCGTTCACGCCGATATCAATGTTGCGCCTGCAGGAATTGGAGTTATTCTGAATTGTAACTTGAAAGCGATCCTACGTCGATACAAAGTTTATTATTAAATAGTGGAAAATGAGTGCAGTGAAGAAATCTAAAACGTATCATTTTAATAAGGATTGGGAGGAAGAATTTTTCTTTTCTATTGTGAAGGATAAGTGCATTTGTGTTATTTGTCGTGCGTCAGTTGCAATACCTAAGCGTGGTAACTTAGGGAGGCAGCATAAAACGGTTCATAAAAACTATGAAAAGTATTTTTCGCTACAGAGTGAATTAAGAAAACGAAAAGTAAGTGATTTGATATCTTTTTTGAAAAAAGAACAATCCATGTTCACAAGACCAGCCAAACAATCAAAAGCTGCTACGATCGCGTCATTTAAAATATCTCATATTTTGGCGAAACACAAAAAACCATTTGAAGATGGATCGGTGGTGAAGGAAGGAACTAAAACATGATATCATGGAATGTACATACTTTTCTTTACAGTTCGACGAATCCATCGATAAGACAGACACTGCCCAGCTGTGTATTTTTATTCGGATGGTATTCAATGACATGTTGGCTAAGGAAGAATTTTTGACAATCATTCCTCTGAAGGGGAAGACCCGTGGCGAAAATATATATGACGTTTTCTTAAATTTTGTAAAAAACTACGAGCTACCAATATATAAATTAATGTGCATTACAACCGATGGAGCACCAGCAATGACTGGAAACAAAAACGGTTTTGTGGCATTGTGTCGAGCTTATTCCCTTCATTTTTTTCATTCCGTTGCATTATACATCAACAAGTTTTGTGTTCAAAAGCGGCTCTTCCAGTTGCAGTTGGAAGATAGGGAGTCAGCTGAACACCCTGATTTAGTTCTTCACACGGACGTCAGGTGGTTGAGTCGCGGAAAATTCCTAGAAAGGTTTCAAGAATTATTGCCCGAAATAACAGCTTTTCTAGACGAAAGAGGTGATGACACTCAGATTTTGAAAAACGAAAAATGGCTAAATGATTTGGCATTTTTGATTGACATCACAATGCACTTAAACACCGTTAACTTGGAGCTTCAAGGTAGAGGAAAAACTATTATTGAGATGATTAGCGCAGTAAACGCATGTAAAAGTAAATTGCAACTTATGATAGATCAACTGAAAAGAAAGGATCTGAAACATTTTCCGTCTTTGAAAGCAAGGATTCCTCAGTCGAATTATGATACGTATGAGGCTGAATTATCAAATATTTTGGGACAATTCGAAATGCGTTTTTATGATTGCAGTAAATTGGAAAAATAGCATCATTTATGAGTTATCCTTTTTCATGTAAAAACATTGAGGAATTAGCTACTGAAATAGCAAGTCAGTTTAATATAAACTCATGTTCTGTTGAAAATGAGTTGGTGCAGATTATATCAGATATACATCTCAAAGCTACATTATCTGATACAAATTTCTGGCGTTTTATATCTGAAGATAAATATTCGAATGTAAAGCAAATCGCCCTTCAACTGAGCAACAGCATTTTTTGGGTCAACTTACTTGTGCGAGTCTGCATTTTCTGAAATGAAGATAATTAAGTCAAAATATCGCAATCGACTAACTGACGATCATGTGACATCATGCTTGCGATTAGCACTCAGTGGTTACGTACCATCTTATGAAAAGTATGCTGAGGACATGCAGTGCCACGCTTCAACTGCAACATCCAAAGCCACTCCTTAGTTAAGTTTAACACCATATGTAACTCTTTTGTTTTGTAACAACAAATAAACCCTGCATCACACACACTTGCAGTCTCTCAGAGTCGATCGTAAGTAGTCTAAAAATATTGAGGTAGATCGCCAGCAGTTCAAGTTTGAGCACCCCTGCTTTAAATGATGACGCACGGGTAAAGAACCATGGACTCCACTGTACACGTGTGCCTCAACTATTTAATAAAAAAATTCAAAAAAATGCTGGGTTTTTTGTGCAAATCAAATCACTGTGAAATTATTTCATTTATGGAGCATGCTTTAAATAGATGCAAATTATTACTTTTCTTCTAAAGGTGCCTATCTTCTAGAGATGTTGGCGACCACATTGACCCATTTGACGTTAGACCAGTCAATTTATTTAAGATTGGTCAGCCAGGATATACGTGTACGTCCAGGGCCTCTCTTACCCTCAATCTTGTTTTGTAGAATCAACTGTAGAAGTCGGTATTTATCATTACGCATGATGTGGCTGAAGTAAGCCAATTTTCTGTTTTTATGATGTTAATAATTTCTTTGTCTTTTCTTAGCCTCTGTAGAATAGTTATGTTACTTGGTGGTGTATATATGAGACCCTCAACATACGTGGCTAGTACCACATTTCAAATGCTTCTAAACGTTTTATGGCATCCTCTGTAAGGTTCCAGCTTTCAAGTTCCAAGTAATTTCAGGTTTTGAATCCCAGCTGTTACATTGTATATTGTAATTTAAACTGTTTATGGGCTTCTCCCATGTATTAAATATATTCTTAAATCTTAAGTTTAAAAGTTTAAACTAATTTTTAAGTTTTTTTATTAGAAAAATGTAGCACAGAAAACGGAACCAGCATTTCAACAATAGAAAATTTTGTTCTAAATGCAAATATTGACAACTACAACATGTTCAAATTAATAAAGTTCTGTAAGGAGTGTCGTTTGGCTCAAAAAGTAAGTCATTTGATTCTAGATGATTAACTGTTATATATGGGAATATGTTTTTTTGTAGATAAGAAGTTACGCATTGAAATATCCTGTACAAGAAGACGTAAAAGAAAAATCAGGAGTTGATGGTGTACGAGACTTTTTAGCTTCCATAAAATCAAAAACAAATACGAAAAAGGGTCCTGATAAAACTAAAAAACCAGAAGTACGTCAAAAGCCACAAGTGATAATTCCTCCAGTTAGTAATCCACTTTTAGCTGTCGTGTCATTTCTAGAATGTCTTACTTACTCATATGAAGATGGAAGAATTTTACAAAAGAAGAATAAAGATAAACTTGAATGTAAATTTCAATTTTTGTTATTGAATTCATCTTCACACTTTAGCGACATTGTAAAAGAAGCCCGATCAGTAAGTATTAATTTTTATTACTATACTCGAGGAAGATTTTTTTCTTTTATGCGCGTACGAAATATCTTCTCTTATGTTATTGAGATCAACCTTGAAATCTTTCGTTCGGACGTTTCCGGTCTGTTTATTTCACACTATATCTGGCTATGGTACATCTTCCAAATATTAGGCATATAATTTTGCAAAAATAATAATTTTCTATTTTATAATAATAATTTCATTTAAATTGTGGAAGTAATGTGACCCCATTGACAATTCCAGTCTAATGGTTTACTTTAAAATAAATCTTAAAGTTAAAATTACGTTTTTTAGGTTGTGGTTGCTGGTGGTACCATGAAACCCATCTCTGAATTTCGAGATAGATTGTTTATCAATGCTGGTGCAAATGCAGATAGGATATTCGAATTTTCTTGTGATCACATTATTCCACCAGAAAATATTTTACCAATTATTGTTACAAAAGGACAGAACAATGAAAATTTATTGTTTAATTTCGAAAATAGGATGCTAATGGTAAGTTCATATCAGTTTGTGCATTCAAAAATGTCTTTTGAATATTATTTCATTTCTCGGTAAAAAGGCTTTCGGTTCAGGGGAGAAATCTTTCATATATATTTAAAAATATTAAATATTTTTATTTGAATTGTTTCAAAAATTTACTATAATAGGTTAATGCTAGAATTATTTGTTTACAAGGCGTTTATCATTAGTATTTTTTACATATAAATCAATTTATAAATTCTCTATTTAAATAAATACTTCTTATTCTTCTTCTTTTTTTTTATATAGACATGACTCTGTTTTTCAATGTTCCTCCAGTAAGTTGTCGTTCCATCGTTTTCGTGGTCTTCCTACTGATCGTCTTCCTATTGAGGAACCGTCCCTTGCGTCTTTACTACTCTATTTGTTGTCATTCGGCTTATATGATCGATCCATTCTACTCTTCTATTTCTTACTCAGTTAATACGATCTTATCTTAAGCTCTTGTCAATGCTGTCAGTTGCAAAATCAAACACACTTTAGATGAAAAACTACAATCCAAAACTTATTTTTTGAATAAGTATACTAAATAATTAAGGTGTTGGTTTTTAGAACAACAGTGTGAAGAATATATTACTGCAAGCTTGTAAATTAGTAAAAGGAGGTATAGTGGTATTTTTTCCTTCGTATAATTACGAAAATTGGTTATGGCAGCAGGTAGAAAAACTTGATTTTGGTAGAAAAGTATTCAGAGAGCCACAAACTTCAGGGCAGGTGGATTCTGTACTAGAAAAATATGCAGAAACTATTAAGAGTCCTGGTAGTAAAGGCGCATTGTTGTTTAGCGTTGTTGGTAAGTTTAGTTGTGTTACATTGCAAATCTAAATTGTTTTTTGAGTAGTATTAGCAATAGTTAGAATATCACTGTGTAATGTAAAAAGATATGGAAAATATCTTTGAATTACCTTATTGATAAATATATTTGGTTAAAGAATTGATAATTATATCTTGATACATATCTGGATAATTGGATACTTTAGTAAAATAATGTACTGCATGTCATCGTATCGCCAACGTATAAATCGATTGGCGATACTTATATATTCAGATGAGATGTATTTATTGGATACTTATATACACATTAATTATGAATGTTTACGGCTCACATTACAAAACACAGACTAAAATGAAATACGAAGTAATGAATGAATGACCGACTGCCAGTGGCGGCGCTTAGTGTACAGTATTGGGAGGAACACATTATATATACCATATAAAAATAGATAACACCATAGGCCTCCGCTTCAGCCCTATTTCCGTAAGCAAAAGTTTTTTGACTATCGTCAAATTGTAAAAATCAAAGGATCTTATTAAGAAACTACAATAAATAATGTATTTTATTAAACTTAAAATTATAATTTAGTTTTTAAATGTTACAAGCCAGTTTTGTATTGAAAATCAAGTCGCCTGTCTTTTTTTGAGATAAATTCTTCAATAACCAATTCATTAAAATTTGGAACTTCTTGAATCATTTTTTTTTTCAATTGATAACATGGAAAGTTTTGATACGCTTCAATGTAGAGAAACATCGTTCTGCTTCTGCTATTGTCATTGGCATCGTAACAAGTACTTGAAGAATTAAATTAATTTCAGAAAAATCTTCTTGCAAATTATTTTCAATCAAAAATTTAAGTAAGTGAACTGCTCCGGAAAGTTCTTTAAAATCGGATCTTCTATAAACAATTTCCAATTCAGTACTTAATTTGTTTTTATTTAAAAAGGGATGATTGCTAATTGTTGATTCCAATGTCAATGTAGGAAAATTTGAGCTGTATATTTCAAAATTGTCCACTGAAAATAATTTTGCTATTTCCAAATGTCCTGTAAACAAAAACCTTCTTTTAATTTCAGTTCGTATAGTATCGCAAACTTCCTTAGCTTTAATAATTGTGGAGACATAAGAATTTCTGTCATCTTTCTTCCGTCTCTTCCTGGATTGACTATCGTCAATGTCTGTTAACTCGGTTTCTCTTATAGTGTGAATATTGTCTCTTTATTTTTGTATATTTTCTTCAAATGTAGTCAGGCATCGTTTTACGATTACGGAATCAGTAGCAGTTTTTTTGTATTTGTGAATATAGTATGTCAACGTGGGGCATAACTCGATGAAAAACTTTCAACCAACATACAAATTTATTATCATTCAATAACCGTAAAAGTGCACCTGCTTTTGTTATGGTACCAGATTGCCTGGATGTGGATTGTATTCTTTCCGTGCACTCTATTAGGGCTTCTCTATTTTCATACACCATGTTCACCGTTATAATTTTGAAATTCCATCTTGTAGCAGATGCTGACGGAACTCTATTTCCCACAACTTCATCTAATATGGCAACTTTCTGAGGTGAATTTGAAAAAAAATTAGTAATTTCGGTCAAATTAGCAAAAAATATGCGTACATTAGTATTTATGCTTGTTGCCTGAGACATTAACAAATTTAACTGATGCGCATAACAATGTATATAATTTATCTAAATTTATCCTGAATGAGTTTTTGCACACCCCATGAACGCCACTCATAACACTTGCTCCGTCATAGCTTTGAGAAATTAACTTATCCGAACTTGATAAAACACAACTTAAACATTCTTTTATGCAGCCAGCTAAGGAAACAGCATCGTGGTTATTTGGTTTTAAAAAAGTCCAAAATCTTTCAACAGGGGTCCCGTTTTGTAAAGTGTAACGATAAACTATAACCATTTGAAAAATATTTGATATGTCACTCATTTCATCACTCACAATGGAAACAAATTTTGAAGCAGCAATTTCTTTTTTGATATGTGCCTGACACACTGAAAGCATACAATCGAGTAAATCATTTTGAATGTCTTTTGACGTTCCTTTAAACAAAGTAGCTTGCTGCAAATGGTCTTTGAGAGCTAAATCCAATTCGGCGAAAAAATTTATGAGACCTCTAAATATACCAGGGTTTATTGAATCCTTTCTTTCATCATGGCCGCGGAGAGCAAGTTCAAAAGCACCCCAAAATTTGACACAGTTTATAATTTTTGATAAGACGTACGTATTATTTTTTATTTGTTCATTATGTTTTGCAATATTTAATCGGTATGGACTATTTAGTTGTTGCCAAATACCTTCTTTACCTAATAAATTAAAACCTAATTTAGCAGATATGTGTGACTTTGAATGTTGATGCTTTTTAATTTTTTCGGATAAATGAACTAAGTCTTTAATGCCATATTTTGTCCATTCTGATTCCTCATCTCCAAATAGCAAACACGGAACACAGTAAAGAGTATTGGTCATAAGTCCCAATTTTAAATGATCGTTTATAATCCCGACTTTTGCATTTTGTTACTTTCGAAATTAACAAATTTAGTTTAGGACGACCGGCACTTTTAATTTTTCCTCTAAAGATAGTGAAGAAAATTTAATTGATTTTAAATAATCCACGCTAACATTCACGCTCTCCATTTTTAAATTGTTTGAAACTTTATAAGCAACACTAACACCGCAAAATTTAAATGTGTATTTGCCGTCCGTACAAGTTACAATGGCAATAGGATTTAGGATCACCGATCACAATCGATTTGTGCACACCAGGCCAGCTACAACGCTCGGCTATTGCGGGGAAGTGGGAAGTGCGGTCGGTGGTATTGGGCCAATGAAAATTAATTTTTAGCTGAGCAGTGCTCTGTTTAAAAAGTTTAAAGGTGCTGAAGAGATGTCAAGCTCTAGGTAAGAAGAACATTGTTAAGCTCGCAGATCGAAATGGAAAAGTGGTAACAGATAAAGATAAGATAATTAAGGTAGTTGAAGAATTTTACACAGAATTATATAGAGAAAGGGGGAAGAAAGACGGCACCAAGTTGAGAAAAGTCCAGAATGTGGGTTCAGAGGATATCCCAGAAATAACAACCGAAGAAGTTTTAAAGTCATTAAATAGAATGAAAAACAATGAAGCAGCTGGTGATGATCAAATCGTTATTGAGGCAGTTAAAGCAGGAGGAAAGACAGTATTGAAAGCATTGACGCAATTATATAACTTATGCCTTTCAAACGAGGTTACACCATCTCAGTGGAATAAAGCTGTTATAGTAGTCATGCACAAAAAGGGAGATATAACAGAGCTAAAGAACTATAGACCTATTAGCTTGTTATCTCACGTTTATAAGTTGTTTATGAAGATAATAACTAATAGGTTGACATCAAAACTAGACTTCTATCAACCTTGCGAGCAAGCAGGATTTAGAGCTGGATACGGAACAAATGATCATTTGCAAACCATTAAGTCGTTCATTGAAAAAACCATTGAATATAATAGACCCCTGATACTTATCTTTGTCGACTTTGAAAAAGCATTCGATACGGTCAATCAAAGTGAAATGCTCCAAGCTCTAACACAATGTAGAATAGATCACCGATACATATCTCTCATCAGATACATCTATCAACATGCTACAGCCTGTGTAAGACTTAATGAAGATACTGGGACTTTTCGTATTGAAAGAGGCGTTCGGCAAGGAGACAACATGTCTCCTAAATTATTTACAACTTTGCTAGAATACGCTTGTAAAACAATAGATTGGAACGAAAAGGGCATCAATGTAGATGGAAAATTTTTAAATAACCTTAAATTTGCAGATGATATCGTTCTTATTGCAGACAGCTTTGATCAGGCACAGATAATGCTCCAAGAACTCCATACTGCCACAAAAAGAGTTGGTCTTAAAATAAATTTTTCAAAAACACAATTTATGACAAATTTAGTCCACAACAAAAACATCTCAGTAGAAGACAAAGATATTGAGCCAGTTGACTCCTATAAATACTTAGGCCATGAGATCAGAATAAGTCGAGACAACCAAACAATCGAGCTGAAAAGAAGAATAAACCTCGCTTGGGCTGCATTTGGAAGGATGAAGGATATTTTTAGGTCTAAGATTCCAATGTGTCTGAAAAGAAAAGTATTTAATCAATGTATTTTGCCAGTGATGACCTACGGCGCAGAAACCCTAACGCTCACAAGAACAACAGTGAGTAAACTACAAGTTGCGGAAAGAGCAATGGAGAGAATTATGTTAGGGATTTCTCTACGTGATAGAATACCCAATGCTACTATACGCAAAAGATCAGGAGTAGCAGACGTTATTGAAAGGATAACAACACTAAAGTGGAACTGGGCAGGTCATGTAGCAAGATCAGTTGATGACCGGTGGACAAAAAGAATTTTGGAATGGAGACCCCGAATACAAGCATACAGAAATAGAGGTCGACCCCCAACGAGATGGACAGATGACATAAAAAGAGTGACTACAAATTGGATTCAGATGGCGCAAAATCGGACTAAGTGGAAGAGCATGCGAGAGGCCTATGTTCAGCAGTGGACGTTAGAGGCTAGTTGCTGATGATGATGAGTGCTCTGGAGATTGTGTCTTATGTCTCGAACCCGTGAAGTTTCCGCATGTCTAAATAGAATAAAAGTAACTAAATCTCGGATCTGTAATTTCTGATTTCAGTTACGGTTAATTAGTTCATTAAAAATATTATTTATAGAATAACAAATTTTAAATATTTATATAAATGTTTGTATGAAAATAATTGTGGGAGTGAACGTGCACATGTGAAGGAACCGCCACTGTCGACTGCCTCAATTGATTCTTATGTGTCGCTTTGATTCTTATTATTTACTTCAAAATAATCAATATTATTTTGAATAAATCACAACGTCACAGCAGTGATACTATCTCTAATCTAACTATCCAATCTCTAATCATAACATCACAGCAGTGTAGTATCTTCCAAAAAAAATGACTGTGATGAAATTGACTAAACTGTGGAGAGCTTTTGTATTATTGAGTTATATTTATATTATTTGCAGGTGGCAAGCTAAGTGAAGGTTTAAACTTTAGTGACGATTTAGGAAGATGTGTAATTGTTGTTGGCTTACCTTACGCGAACATAACAGCAGCCGATTTAAAAGAAAAAATGAACTATCTGGACAAAACAGAGGTAAAAAAAAACAAATTCGGCATTCGAATCGTGTTTTAAAACATTTGTCTTTCTACAATATTCATCTTTCTTATGTGAGTTTTTGTTTAAATTTAATATGTATCAATGAATAAAATCATTTTAGGGTCAAGGTTCTGGTCAAAAATTCTACGAGAACCAATGTATGAAAGCAGTCAACCAGTGCATTGGTAGGGCTGTTCGACACCGAAACGACTATGCCACTGTTCTCCTCCTTGACGAAAGATACAGCAGAGTATCTGTGAAAAATGCGCTACCCAACTGGATAAAAAGGTCCTTAAAAGTCTGTAATTATGACGAAACGTTCACGTCGATTAAAAAGGTATGTAATATTGTTATAGATATACGAGGTCTGTCCCAAAAGTGTCCGACCTGCATTTTATAATTTCGAAATGCTTCTTTACCGTAAAGCTTGAGGCATATTGCTAAGTATTCCTCTTTCTAACATGCCCTCATCGGTGCTTTAAATCACTGAAATCGTTCTGAAGTTGTTTTTGTAATGGCATTCAGTGCCATCGTCGCATTAGTTTGAATCACCTCAATGATATCGAGATTTTCAGGTGTATATATGTTCAGGAGTTACATGTTCTTGGGTTTTGCCAAAAAGAAAATGTTAGTTTCTTAAATATTTCGAATATTGTATAACTCTACAACAGGCTTTTTATTATCATTTATTTTACAATACATTAAACACCTACGTGTTGGTAATACCATGACATCATGATGATAATGATCTTCTCTACATCTTAGGCAACCAACGATACCAATATTAGCAGTCCGGGTTGCCTAACAATATCACATAACGGTTGAGTTTAACGAAAGTACAAGCTGAACATAGCTGCAAATGTCAACTATGAAATAAAATATTTGGGTTTGGCAGTGTTGGGATGTTTTTATAATTCATATGTTGTATGCTTCAAATATAAAGAGAGAAAACTTTTAAAAAGTACATATCGGTTATACTATTTTATGAATTCTGCAATTTTTAATTTATATAAAACAATAACGAGTAAATATTTGTCTCTCGAGATTAATTGCAAACATCTGGCAACTGCTGATTTGACGATTGCCAAATCGATTCCCTAATCTATTAAAGGGTAATTGCCAAAAAAAATTTTTATAATTAATCGCATAAGCAATTAATCTCTAAAGAAACAAATATTTACTCATTCTTGTTTTATATAAATCAAAAATTGCAGAATTCATAACACAATATAAAAAAACTGTACTTTTCTAAAACTTATTCTTTTTATATTTGAAACATACAGCATCTACATTATAAAAACATGCCAACACTGCTAAACCGAAATTTTTTGTTCCATGTTTGGTATTTGCGGCTATATTCAGCTTGTACTTTCGGTAAACTCAACCTCACATAACAGAAACCAGCACCGCTTGCTCAAAAATCAGTCTTCTTTACTGCATTACAAAATCTATTTTAATGGGCTTATTTCCATTAAAATAGCTTCAGAATAATATTACAAAATCTTCTCTAACATAACCGTAAATTCACAAATATTCAATAAGATGTTTTTAAGCATATTTTTAGCTATTATTTTAAGTTTTCCAGACGACTTTAAAGCGCATCTCTTCCTACTCGGCCTCCTCCAAATTCTCGGTCTATTATTTAATACCCCCTGGATAAGGGGTCAAACGATTACTCCAAAGAAATCAAAGTTCGAATAGAGAACAAACACGAAGAGCACGAACAAACTTCAATAAAATGAGAATGGTACTTTGTGCAAGAGAACTGAAATTGGAGTTACACTGGCAAGATGTTAAATTTTCTCGAATCTGCTTTACGGGATAGAAGCATGGACACTTAACTCGTCGACTATTAAAAAATTGGAAGCATTTGAACTATGGGTGTATAGAAGAATCCTGAAGATATCATGGACCGAACATATAACAAACAACGAAGTCATGAAAAGAGTCAACAAAAGAATGGAAATATTGGAAACCATCAAGACACGAAAGCTGCAATACGTGGGGCATGTTATGCGTAATGAAAGATACAACATACTTCAATTAATTATACAAGGGAAAATCCAGGGCAAGAGAAGTGTAGGAAGGAGAAGAATCTCATGATTGCGTAACTTGAAGGAATGCTACGGATGCACATCAATCCAACTATTCAGAGCGGCAGCATCTAAGATCAGAATAGCCATGATGATTGCCAACCCCCGTCGCGGAGATGACACGTAAAGAAGAAGAAGAAGGATAAGCTAGCCCTTCAAGAGGTGAAAGGTTATCTAAATGCCATAAAAAGCACGAAGTGAATAAACTTCTAATGACAGCAGATTTGTTCGATAGTAGTGAAAATGAAGAGCTACCTACCGGAGAATAAAGCAAGCTGATCTTTTTAATTTATACATGAATTCGACGAGGACTCTATTAACAATAAACCATATTGCTCGCCGACCTATGAACTTTCTCCAAGAAGCTGAGATAATGTTTTGCCGTGGCCTCCCCGTTCACCGGATTTAAATCGAATATGTGTGTGATATGATGGGAAGGAGACTGTCCACTTTGCACCGTCCTCCACAGAGTCTCGCACAGTTAATCCATCAAGTTTAAGTTGTTTGGAACGAAGTGCCACAAGAAGACATCGATCAACTCATTCAGCAGTGTATTAAGCTACGGGATTGCCAAAAGTATTAATTTTTTTATTACATGTTAATAAAAATTCTTGCCAACGTTATCGTTTCATTCTTGATGTAAATCTACCATGTTGCTAAAAAATTTAAGTTCAAGAAATTATTCCTTCTGGATGTAACACTTCTAATGTCACTGAGTATATAAATATATAACTATTAGTTATATTTTTTATTAAAAAACCTAAATAACCCCACGGTTTATTTAGTGATTCGTTTAAAATACTTGGGCCAGGCAGGTCCAACAATGGCTAAAGTTTTCGCATTGCTTCTGTGAACGATTTGCTTGAATCCGGCACTCATATTAGGTGATACTTTTGAATCAGACCATTTTTATTTTTCTAGAAAATCTCACCTTTAATAAAGAATGTGTTAAAAGTTTATGGTTTTGTTTTGCTAATTTTATGTTTTTCTTTTTTTAGTTTTTTGAAGATAAGTAGGATATGGGCAATCGAGAATAAAGAGGAAAGACTTAATGATAAATGCTTTATTTCTTATTTTCTATTTGCAATTTTCGCCTTTTTGTAAAATGTTCAATTTTATGTTCTAAACTATGACATGACTGTCGTTCTAGTAAATGTTGATACTTTTTACAACGTATACCCTGGATCAAATGGTCACTGAGACATTTGTATGTTGAATCTCCTTCCTCATTCGTTCTTTTTAGACTAACCAATGATGTCACCATTCCTTTTATGAGTTCACTCCTAAAATGTATGATATTTAATAAATTTATATTTATTTCCAAGTTGTTTTCATGTTTACCTACACAAAACTACCTAAGAATAATATAATTGTTAACGATGTTTGAAATATGTAAAAAATATACTCTATACAAAGATTGAATATTCTAGAGGATCACGAAAGATCAAATACTGTATTAAAAGACTAGGAAAAAACGTTTATTTTGAGGTAAAAAATAAAAGAAATGAGAAACTGTATAAATCGTGGTAAGGTAATAGCTCTAGTGCATATTTTTGAAATAAAATTAATTAAGCTAGAACTTACGGTGAAACGACAAAACGGATACGCTCCAAGATATTTCAAGAATGTCTGACGGTGATCTAATAAGTTTCGACATTGTCACTCTTTAGAAACATTCCTATAGATGAAACTCTAAACATTCTGAAAACCAAATACAGTATCCAACAAAACCACTTATCTCCCATTAAACATTGTATGTCTAATACCTATTTCATCTTCCAAAATCAATTCTACAGACAAATAAATGGTTGGTGCCTCGATGTCCTCCCCTCTATCTCCCGTAATTGTCAATATCTTTATAGAAGTCTTCGAGACCCGAGCACTATCCACATATTGATGTGGATAGTGCTCGGTGATATGGGCTCAAGCCCATATATTGGCTACGATATGTTAACTATACATTCGTCATTTGGCCCCATGGCAGGGATGCTTTGGTGTATTTTCAAACCCATCTGAATGGTATACATCCTAGTATCCAGTTCACGATGGAGGTGGAAACTGATTCGTCCCTACCGTTTCTCGACGTTATCATAAAGAAAAGTCAATCCCAAGGTTTTCATTACTCTGTTTATCGAAAACCCACACATATTAATCGTTAATCGCATGCCAACTCTCACCATCCACCTTCATAAATTAATTCAGTCATTTATACCCTTGTCTCCAGATCAATACGCCTTTCCGATGACGCAAGTAGACCCGCTGAGCTCTCTTGTTTAAAACAAGCCCTAATCCAAAACGGTTATAGAAAAAAATCGCATCAATAGGAGCATCCACAGACATCATCTCCCACTCCCACTTGTTGGCTTTTTCGGAAGTCTTCGTGCGCAAATTTAAAAACATTCGTCTTGTACTAGCAGTTGCTTGATATTAGGGATGTAGGATTTTCACTTGTCAAGACGAATGTTTTTAAATTTGGGCACGAAGACTTCCGAAAAAGTCAACAATAAAAACCACTGGATTGTCGTGACAAAAACTAATAGCGATACAATAAAATTAACAATATCAATGTCATAAACTTGTGTATAATAATTAAGTGTGTGTGAAGGTAAAGTAATTTTTTAAAATGTTACATATAGGAATAGGTTTTAGATTCAACAGATATGACAGACTGTGATAAATTTTATCAACATTTTATAAAATCATTTATGATACAACCTCATTAAGTTTGTAAGTATCGAATTTTTAATTAATTATACAAATTTGAAAAAAATATTCATCACATTTGTAGCTCCCTGATGAAGGACATAACCAATGTCCGAAAGCTTGGATTAAAAATTTAAAAGAGTACACCTTTCATTTTTATTGCTGCATACCCAATATTTAAAGTTTACTTATATATATATATATATATATATATATATATATATATATATATATATATATATATAAAGTAGTTAGGTATTATTGACTGACACGTTATGTAAAATAAAGTTTTATTTTGAGGATGCAGTCATTTAAGTAGGGCAGGATAAGTAAAACTCTTTGTTCTTAAATCAAGCTTTCGCAAAATTTATTTGCTTCATCAGGATATGCTAAAATATGTTATGGTAAATACAATGAAATTAGAGTTAAAAAAACATTGTATAAAACTAATATAAAAACTTACAACATGAGGTTAAACCATTAAATTATTAAATTCATAAAACATTATTAATTTTTTTTAAATTATATTTTTATGTAAGTACAATATTTTAATTTTGAATATATTATGACATTGATTAATAATGATGTTTGATTTATGTCAGAAAGACACTCGTGTCTGTTTTTATTATTGATAATTAGCTCTAGATTGTTATTATGCTTACGTAAAAAGTGGCGCCAAATATGAATATTTAAATTTTTGAAAATATAGTATTTATAGTCAGAAAATCATATATTAGAAAATTAAAGTATTAATTTTCGTAAGATAGAATGTAATTATAGATATTGCTGAGTTTGTTAATATCAGTTTTTTTATTAACGCTTTGATATTTATTTATGCATACCATTTCTAAAAATTCTCTTTTATTTAATTGGTTTTCACGTCTTAATATATTAGTTTCATTAAAATTAAATGAATGATTATTATTAATTGCATGATCTATCAATGCACACGTATTTTTATTATTTCTAAGGTCAATTGCAACTAAAAATGTTAAGACATTAGCATCATTATATACAAAAACTAAATCACCTATTAGCATTATGGAAAGCTCAAATGTAGTTTATAGAATACCATGCCAAAATTGTGATAAGTCATACATCGGACACACATCTAGAAATCTAATAGGTAGACTAACATCACATAAAAGTGACCAATGTCACTTTTATGTGATTTATAACTGAATTTTTACCAAAAGCTGCCCAAGCCATATATATATATATATATATATATATATATATATATATATATATATATATTATATATATATATATATATATATATAATAATAATAATAGTCTCCCGTTTTATACCGCACGCGGCTTTGGGAGTATAGCAGGGTAGTCTGCTATATCTAGGGCCTACGGTATACAAGGAAGGTAACATGGCCAGTGCTACGCTTCAACCGCCTATTATTACCCCTGGTTTTACCCAAGGTACTCATTTTATTCAGGCTGAGTCGACCTGGGGCCTATAGACATTTTAAAAATGCCTAGTTGTTCTTGCCGGCGGTAGGATTCGAACTCACGACCACCGGCATGCGAGGCAAGCACACTACCGCTTGCGCTACGCGGGCCCTATATATATATATATATATATACATCCTACTATCATTTTGGCATCGATACATTATGCTTTTACCATCAATTTAGCATTGTCTTGCAAAGTAGCATCTGTATATCGACGCTACTTTACAACACCTTAATAACTTTTTTCCTGTACTTGTTACAAGAATTTTAACCATCTCACTGATTAGAGATTTGATACCGTGTTGGTATTTTAAAATATCGGCTTTCTCTTTTTATCCCTTACTGAGTTATATAAGTTTATTCCAGAAAATGTTTGAGTCTAAAATGATGGTACGGTGAAAATATTATATATATTTAGTTCAGGGTTTTACCGTTTACTCGATGTCATTATATACATAAAAATGTATATCCAACTTTCATTATCAATCATTTTAGCATCAGAAATTTGGCATCGCTGTTGAATATAATATTACCCACAACGAAATAGTAAATTTAAAAATATATATAGTTTTTTCATCCATAAATCATTCTGGCATCATGTTTTGTTAAAAGTAACGAGTTATGATATATTGTACCTACATATTGTATCTTCGCTCCAATTGGTCCAGTCGTGACGTACAGTACCTCAAATGATAGGATTTAACCAATAAAATACAATAAGACAGAAAAATCAAATACAGCAGCATGTCAAAAAGGCCTTAGTTATATATCTTCGTTTCTATAAGTCCAATCGTGACGTACAGTATCTCAAATGATAGGATTTAACCAATGGAAAACAATGAAATAGAAAAATCGGATACAGCAACATGCCAAAAGGGCCTTAGTTGTGTATCTTCGGGTCTATTATTCTAATCATGACGTGCAGTACCTCAAATGAAAGGTTTTAGCTAATAAAATACAATAAGGTATAAATATTAAATGGAGTAGCATGTCAAAAGGGCCTTAGTTATGTATTTTCGGTCCTATTAGTCCAATCGTCACGTACGATATATCAAATGGTAGCACTTAACTAATAGAATACAATGACTTAGAAATCAAATACAGCAACACGTCAAAAGGGCCCTATTTACGTATCTTCGTTTGTAGTTGCACAATCGTGACGTACAGTACCTCAAATGATAGGATTTAACCAATCAAATACTATGAGACAGAAAAATAAAATACAGCATACATCAGTCTGTCAAAAGGGCCTAAGTTATGCATCCGCGGTCCTATTAGTCCAATCGTGAAAGGGCCAAGTTATGTATCTTCTATCCTATTAGTCCAATCGTGACATACAGTACCTCAAATGATATCATTTTACCGATAGAATGTTACGACGTAGATCAAATACAGCAACACGTCAAAAGGACCTTAGGTATATATATTTGCTCCTATATATGCTATGTCAAAAGAGCCTTAGTTATGTATCTCCTGTCCTATAGGTCTAATCATGACATATGGAGCCTAAAATGATAAGATTTAATGGAGATAATACGATGGTGGAGACAAAGTAAACATGGCGGCATGTAATAACACGGTAAACTGGCAGCAATAAAACGTAATAACCCACAGAGGTCTATGGTATATTACGTGACAGAATTTAGCGAATAGCATATGATTTGCATACGTCTACTTTTAGTCAACTACTGTACATATGATAAACGCGAAAAAGTTCCAACATTCACTGTTAGACATATGCCTCCCGTTCACTGCACACATTTACTGCTCCTTGACGCTGTGGCGTAAATGGGATAGGATTTAACAAATAGAATGACAGAAAATTAAATAAGACAGTGTGTCAAACGTGGAATGCATCGTAGAACGTGAAATATATAACATTTAAGAATATGAAATTATACACCAATTAAAAAAAATGACGTTAGTTGAGGCAGATCAGACCAGAAAAAAATGTCAACATTTTCAAAATACTTTAGTATTTTTAAAATATACCAACCAGATAATAATAATCAAGCAATAGAACACTGAAAACTTTTGTTTTTAACTGTACGCCCATGAATGACTAGCCATTTTTAAATACCTTTTGATATTGCTTTTTTTTATTGTATTTTTC